GTGTAGTGTGTGTGTGTGTGTGTGTGTGTGTGTGTGTGTGTGTGTGTGTGTGTGTGTGTGTGTGTGTGTGTGTGTGTGTGTGTGTGTGTGTGTGTGTGTGTGTGTGTGTGTGTGTGTGTGTGTGTGTGTGTGTGTGTGTGTGTGTGTGAATATATTTGCAAAAATATATATATATACCTTAATTCTTCGAACTCAGTATTAGCTTGTTCAAAATCATAATCATTATCGAATTTCAGTGTATTCTTGGGTTTGGCACCAGCATTACCAGGTTGATTTCTAAAACCACCACGACCTCTTCCTCTGCCACGCATATTTCCACGATTCATCCATCCTCCACGATTTCCGCGACCACCTTGAGCATGTGTGCCTTGACCTTGAAGTTGACCATCTTGTTTCATTGTATCACGTTTTCCATCATTATATTGTGATACAGTACCTCCTGTTTTATTACCACTATGGCTGAAAATAATATATAAAATTATATATTATGAGAATATCATTAATATTTAATTAAAAAATTATACTTTTTAAACATTAAATTTAATTAAGTATTTTGAAAATAATATATACTATACCTATCGTGATCACGTCGAGCAGGTTGAATAGTTCTTATATTGTTTTTTCACCAAGCTTGCCAACATTTCCACTCTGCTGTTGTTGTTGTTGTTGTTGATGGCCTACCTGAATACTTTGATCCATAGTTGGACTTTTCCGTGTCAATAAAGATGAAGTTGGAGTTGTTGATCGTGAACCTCCACTAATGAGATCTAATACACCTATGAAAATAAGTTAAAAGAAAATAAGCAAATATTATAATTCTATGAAAACTTAATGTTTAAAAAATATAATTCTAAGATAAAATAATTATTTAAAAATAAGATATAATATAGAAAATATTTAAAAAAGTATATTAGAAATTTCTAGAAGTTAAATCAAAGTATGATTACAAAAATACTACATTAAATATACGTTGCTTAAGAAAATAATCTTAAAAAACGATTTCTACCTGAAATTTCAACTGTTCTTGCTATTATGTTACTTGCTAGTGCATAATGCTTCTAACACTATTAAAATGAAATTTAAATGCATATTTAAAATAAAATTATAAATTACAAACGCGATATATATATAAAAAAATTTCATGCATATTCTTTTAGTAAAATACAAAAACTATTAAAAACTATTAAAAACAAATTTGCATAAATATATTATATAAAATACATTTAACCTAAGCAAATCATAGCAAATTGAAAATACTACATTATTGTAACATTATTATTTTAAATATTTATCGCCAATATAACATTAAACATTTATTTTAAAAAAATCACACACATTAATATAAATATTAAATCATCTATTATGCTATTTGAAATTTATTTAAATAAATTTTGAAATTAATATTATTAAGTATTAAAAAGGCATATATCACTATGAAAGCATAAATAATACAATCATGAAAGCAAATCATATTAAAGCATTATTGAATATTTGTTAATAAAAATCATATATTCTATATACATATTTTTAAATATGTACAAATGTATCATATAAAGAATACTCAAGCATTCAATATTAAATTTTTCATTTAAATTTATAATATAAAATTGAGAAGCAAATTAAATAAGTCACAATAAAAATATAATTCACATTACAAGCAAAAATTCATAAGCAGTTAAAAGAAAAAATAAATGAAAGCAAGTATTTTATAGATATTTTCAAGTGTATCATATATAGTTAATAATTAATAAAGGAAATTTTTTGATTTCACAAGTATAGTTAGCAAGCATTACCAGAGAAGAAGCAGCAAGCATGCCATTGGCAAGGGATAGTTCATAGCAAAAACAGTTTACCATCTTCCAGAGATTGGTCTTTTGGTAATGGGTCGACATTGGCCGTCGGTAGTGAGTTTGGGATAGAGATGGCATTGGGTTCAGCAGAGCCCAAGCTCAACTCACTTGGCTGTTTATTTATTGGTCCACGAGGATCTCTAGAAGTTGGCATTCCCATTACAGGTCCCATGGTGCCCATTGTCATGCCATAAGGTGTTCCATATTGTCCACCCATTGGACCCATCATTGGATGAGCATAACTAGGTTGTGGTTGGTATGATTGCTGACTCATAGACGGTTGTACCGTCATCTATAAATAATTAGAATTATTTAGTAATCATATATGAAATTATATTGATTTTATTATTTAATATTAATATTATTTATTATAATAATTTAATTAAAAAATATTAATATTTTTTATTTAATTATAATAAAAAATATATATATATTATAATTACCTGCACAATAGCTGGATCATTTGGAATAGAACTGACATTGTTGACAACTCTAATATCTTTAATATCTGAACCACGGAATAAAATGTATTCATATACTTGATTCTGTGGTGCCACTGGAAGTTGTGTTTCTCTATCCTCAGTCCCAAAAGAACGTACTATATTATAAAAAAAAAATATTTAATATTTTGATAAAATAATCACATTTTTAAGATTAAATAATTTTGAAACTAAATATAAGAGTTGTTCCATAATTTGCTATTATTATCAATATAGATTATAAAACTATATATAAAATAAAAATATATAATATCTCATGTAATATAAATAATATTTAAAATTTAATAATACAAATAATTTGAAATCTATATTATGAAATTTAAATGTAACGACTTATGAGAATAACTGTAATATGACTAAAAAAAAAAGGACGAAAGACATAAACAGGACAAGTACAAAACACAAACATTCTATATAATGTTGGATGTAACGGTTTTTAATATAATTTCATATAATAATAACTATTATATTAAAGAAAATATTGTATTTTAATTATATGCAATTTTAAATATGCAATTTTTAAATTTTGTTATTTCACTTCAATTAAATATTGTACAGAAAAAATGAACATTAAATGAGAAAATATTATATAATTAAATATATAGTCATGATATACAATTTTCATAAATTAAAATGAATAATTTAAAACGAAAATGAAAATATATAATTTTGAACAATATTATTTGATATATTTCTGTCTTTATTACCTCTTTTTGTTGAGTATAGGTTGCTATAAATTTGGAAATACTATATAAATATTTAACATATTTATTAAAACTAAAAACACGTTAAACAATGAGATTAATTTTAAAATATATATATTCAAATTACAAATAATACATAAAACACCCGTTATAAATGACGGGTGACCCCGGTTGTTTTGTATCGAAGCTTTACCGGACGAATCAAGTACCGATTGTTCTAAAAGCATTTTCGAATATAACAAATATATAAAAATCGTTAAATTTCCATAAACAATATATAAAAAAAACGATAAAAGTAAAAATATGAACGTAATCGATGAATAAAAAGTAACGAATATTAAAACAAAATAACCGGGAAATAAAGCAGCGGCAAAACTAATTTCGGTATCCATCTTGATTTGAGACTCACCATTAGCTAGAGCAATCGTACATTCTTGAGGATCAACAGTAAAGAGTCGGCCTTCATAACGAATATCTGCTTTCGATATTAAACTAATCTTCGAGCCCAATTCTGGCATTCCTCCGCTCATCTTGAATCTCTTTCTTCTGTACGATGATCGATGTGATATTACAGGATTCACGATACCATCTGACGAAACCACCAGCTGACACCAATGGTCGACAGCGAACTGCCAAGTCTACCAACAGAAATTGCGCATGCGCCACACCCCCCATATATTTAGAAATGATTTACAAATTTCAAATGTAACAAAGTTGAACAAAAATAAAATAATACAAATGAAAAGTAATAAGTCATTATGATAAAGAATATAGTAATATAAATTATATTTTTTTAATTGAATATTGTATACTTCTATTAAATTGAAATACGTTTTAAATATTGTGTTAGAAATTGCGAATAATGCAATCTTTAAATTTAAAAAAATATACTATGTTTGTTAATATTTACATAAATAAAAATATTGCATGCAATTAAAATAAACATTTATTAATAATTTTATCATTTAAATGTTGACCTTATGATATTGGTATGCTTGATTATAGTCGCCTTACATACTAAAAGTTGTGTAAGTACCTTTTGCTTTTTGTCTACTTTGTAAAAGATTTGTGATTGCATATAAAAATATGCAAATATTGATAACAAAATTTTATGAAACATATACAATTACTATTTAACCAGTATATGTATGTTTATTTTATAGATATTTAATTGACTAAGAATCTTTACACATTGTACCTTTGGCCAACATGGCGGCTTCATTAGGACGAGTTTATAAAATCGGTCTTTTGAAATCAAATTATGGAACATTACTCAATCAGGTATGTAATTTAAAAATATAACTTGCTTTTAGATATATTAACTTATTTACTTTAAAAATATCATTCATTATTTAAATGTTATCTTACAAAATTAGTGTATCGAACTTAATGTAGATCTTTTGATGAACTACACAAGTTGTCGGCTGCTATGACATTTTTCTTGGAAAATATATTAATTTTATACTTTGTATCACTTTATCAATTCTAATGAAACATATTTTATAACAGGATAATAATTTCAACAGGATTTTGAAGACATTTTATTTGATGTTATGTAATAGTTATCAGCATACAAAATTATGATGTTGCCATAGCCAAACAAATCTAAGATTTATATGGATAGTTTAAAAATCAAATTTATAACTGAAAATATTTATAATTTTGGATTATTTTAATCATTATACAACTTGCATAATGGATTAAAAAAGATAACATTGAAATTCATGTAAATATTTAGAATTTTAAAATGCAATATTATAAATTTTATTGAATAAGATTATTAAATAAGTTTAAAATAAAAAAATTATATTATAATTAAAGTTTTATCTAATATTTAAATTTTAATTTAGCAGGTACATAATTTTTCTACTGCCAAGCAATGGTCTAGAGGCAGAAAAGTGGTATGTGTATTTCTGTAATGAATTCAAGATGCCTTCCTTATTCCCATATTCCTAATGTACAACCAATAATATTTAAACTCATTAAATACATCAATATATGTGTTATATATGTGTGTTCTTATATATTGAACATATATTTATAGTAAGTTTCAGTTATGTCATAATGAATATATATATATATATTTGTATATAAAGAGACTTTTAATATATTTATATAATAATAATAATTACAGCTGTTAGCATGTTTAGGAGTAACAGCTGGAGGTATCAGTGCATTAATTTATGCTTTGGATCAATCTGTAAAAGCTTTTGATATGGTGGCACATCCACCAACTTATAAATGGGGTTTTTATGGAATGTTTAGTGCACTTGATCATAAAAGGTAATAAAAGCCTTATGAGAAGTAAGGAATATAGATTTAATAGTAATATACTTATTATCTTTTATATTATTTTTTCATATTATTAGTCTTCGACGTGGTTGGGAAGTATATAAAAATGTGTGTTCAGCTTGTCATAGTTTACAATATATGGCTTATCGTCATCTTGTGGGTGTTACACATACTGAAGAAGAAGCAAAAGCTATTGCAGCAGAAGTTCAGGTAAATATTTTTAAATAAAATAGAATTGAATAATATAATGAAATATAATAATAATAAATATATAATTGTGTAACTAAAAGTTAAGTAATAAAACAATTTTATTTAAAAAAGTAGTAATATTAATATAGTATTTTAAAGATATTAAAAATATAGTTTATTTTATTTAAAAAAAATATTAATATAGGTTCAAGATGGTCCTGATGATCAAGGAAATTACTTTATGCGTCCTGGTAAATTATCTGATTATATACCACCTCCATATCCAAATGAAGAAGCAGCTAGAGCAGCAAATAATGGTGCCTATCCACCAGATTTAACATTTATTGTTAATGGAACTGAGCATGGAGAGGTAAAATAATTGAATTTGATTTATTTTTTATATATTGAACTTTATATATTATTTGTTAATTTTATTTAGAACAAATTATTTTTTCTCTATAAAAATATTCTTGAATTCAATATATTATTTATATATTTTACATTATGTATTTTCAGAATTATGTATTTTCATTATTAACTGGATACTGCGATCCACCAGCTGGTATTCCAATAAGAGAGGGTCAATATTTCAATCCTTACTTTGTTGGTGGAGCTCTTGGTATGCCACAAGTAAGTTTATATAATTATTTGAGATATATATATGAAATTTTCTAAAAACTTCTAATTAACTTTTTTTTTCCTATTATGTTTCAGATTCTTTATGATGAAGTAATAGAGTATGAAGATGGCACTCCTGCATCAGCTTCTCAATTAGCAAAAGATATTGTAGAATTTCTTATGTGGACATCAAATTCAGAACATGATGAAAGAAAGAGACTTACTATTAAGGTAATATTTGGTATTGATATATAAAGAAATAGAAATATATTATAATTATTATTATTATTTTTAAAATTATATAATTATTTTGCAGCTTTTGGGTGTTAGTTCAATAGTAATACCATTATTAGTATATTGGAAGAGACATAAGTGGACAACTGTTAAAAATACTAAAATACTTTTCACTCCGAGACATAAACCTCCACAACAGTAATATAATTACAGTAATAAATAAAGCTACATTAGCTCAAGGAAAATGATCCGACGATGTTAGATTCCCATATTGGAATGTAGTTTTTTACTTTGTTTGAATGTTGCGATATTTACAACAACATAATTGCACTCAAATGATAGACGTTTATTTAACGCGTCAATCGCCTTGTACATATAACTACAATTAATGATATCATCGTCAGATTTAAATAAACTGTTAAACTTATTTAATCATATATTTATTGCCTAAACAAAAATTTCCTGAATGTAAGGAATAAAAAAATTGATTTTAAATAATTTCTAAAGAAATTTGTTTATTCTTAAGCATGATTTCATCAACATAAAATGATATTACTTAATATTTCATTAGTATGAATTAGATTACACTATTACATCATTTATAGTGTAATACTAAAATGCAAAGCTGATGAAAAGGTATGTATAATGTTTCAGGTAGTTGAGAATTTTATAATATTATTCAATAAATGTGAACTTGTGTTAAAAATCTGGTACTTTGGTTTGGATTTACTTTAATTAAGGATAGACATTACTATATAATTTGGATAATAAAATTTCAAAAAATTATATTATGTTTGAAATAATTTATGATTATATTTCTTTTTCTAAAATGTAACATAATTATGGAAAACTTTTTTTCCGCTCTGTATACAACTTCATGGGAACGGTATAGTTTGTAGCAATTATAATAGAACTGCACTAGCATTCAAACCTGATTCTCTAATGATTAGAAACATATTTATGGTACTTTGGATTTTTATTAAAAATTAGGTATGATTTTATAAATACATCAATTATGAAGCTTTGATCAAAGAGTAAATAATATATGTGTATTATATATCTGCATTATAATGACCAAGAAAACTTAAAATATTTCTAATATATAAATAATGGAATGGAAGAGAGAAATTAAATATTTTTAATCTAATGCTTCATATATTGATGTAAATGTCTTCATACACTGATGCAAAATACTATACCATTATCCACATATTATTATAAATCAAATTATTTTATATGTTTTAATTATAACATAAATTGTTTATCAGTTAAGAAACACTTTTCTCTATAGAATAAGAGGCCGTTCTTGGATGATGTCTCAACCAAATATGCTCAATATATGCTCATTTTTATGCTACTTGCACAAAAAGGCACATTATTACATCAAATATTGATCTCAACAACCTGCTATTTGCTAATATTTGAATAACAATTAACAGAGAAAAAGTAAAATAAGACTTGGTAAAAATGAGCACACAGAAATATAAATTATTAAAATTTAGAATTGTCTACAATAATAATTACTGAGACACCTCCACAAATCATGAAATGGCACTTATGCTCAAACTGAAATGTTATTCAGGCTATTTTGTTTTACTTAAAAAACTTTGAAGGCATAAGTTATTCTTATTGATTATTACTTTTATTACACAGTCTGTGTTTCCAGTTTTAAGAATCAAAATATTTTATTTTAGATCGTATTAACTTAAAAAGCTGAAACAGCATTTTCTTAAATTAAATATGTGTGCATGTTTTTAAAATAAAATATTAAAACTAAAATAGTTTTACATATATATGTATATATATGTGTGTATATATATATATATATGAAATGTGCTATAAGTTTAAGAAATAGTAAGTAATAATAAATGATTTATGAATTTTGTAAGTAAATATTTTAGTAAATTGAAAACACTGAATCAACTTTTATAGTCATCATTTCCTTTCTTTTTTCTTTTTTTTTATACAGATGTTATTTCTTAGTATATGTCTTTACTTGGTACCGATTTAATATTTGGTACCTTCATGAATCTCACCCCATGCTATTGCAGAAAGGAAGAGATGTTATGTTTATATGTGGTTAGGCTAAAAAGTGCTACCCTCTGGAGGCTGAGATAATTTCATATTTTCCTTCAATGTCATTAAACGACGAAGTTCTTGAAGAACTGTCTTAATTGTGTATTCTCGTTGCCACTTTGCAAGCACTGGTACACTGCGGTTATCAACCTATAAAATTTAATACATTAAATTTTTTTTTTTATATTATTGAATTAAAAAAAAAATACTTACTGCACCAGTAGTACTGTTAATACAATTCATGTTGATCCTGCTTAAAAATCTTACATTGGGTGCATCATCTGGATATCTTTGACCACAATCAATTTTCAAACTATACATTCTATTTTCATATGGTGTCTAAAATTATATAATATATAGCTATAATATATTTAATAATATATTTAATTAATAATATCTATATATATTTAATATTATTTTTCTTATTAATAATGATAAATCCATTTACTTTTTTAATATAATTAATTTTGATTTGCTATTATTATTATTATAATTTTTACAATACAAATTTATATTTAACATAATAATATTATAAACAAATATTTATACACAATTCATAAGAATTTAAATTTTAAATTAATATATCAAATAGAATTTTATAAAAATTTAAAAAAAATTACTCTAGGTGGTCCAATTATCATTCCAGTCCAATGTGTGAGAGTCATGTCATCATCGTTTTCTAAGCCCCAACTGATTGTACCATCACCTACACCTTTTTGACCTTGTTCTAATTCCTCTAATAAACGAAAGTTTCGAGGCACAACTAAAAACATAAAATTGAAATTATTTTTTATAAAGCTACCAATAAAATATTATTAATTAAAATCACTAAAACATAAGTATAGGTTATGAGTCTATAATTTTGGCACCACGTAATCTTTTCCTTAATATTTTCAAATATTTCTTATAACATATATAATTTTATTTATATGAAAAAAATAAAATAATAATGATATTTTCAAAAACCCCGATGTACTATTAATTAGTTTTATATACATTTACTGTGCGGTGATATCTTTCTACATTATATGTCTACTGTTCTATTTTATCAAGATTTTAGAGGTACAATTTTCATAATGGTATTTTATACATGATTCTTTAATTTGAATTCTTTAATTTTTAAATAATATGAAACCTGTTTGTTATTTGCATTTTTAGCCTGTAAAAAACAGATATAAAATACTTACCTACACCGGTAGTGGGTACCGCCATGATATCTTATTTTTGTGAAACGCTGTATATTTTTCTAAAGAATACCAAATTAACACCCAATAATATGCTTCAAACTAAATCACTTTAGAATATGCGTCTTAATTATAGTATAAATCTTTCATTACCCGAAGCTAAGATGAAGAAAATAATATCTAATAATCAAGTGAAATTCACTTTGCGAAAATTCAGCCAACCTCCGTGAGGTTGTCTGTTTCCACAGACTATTCACTTTCTAGATGGAATTACTATATTATAGATTTTAGACTTTAATTATCCCAGCGTTTTTATAAATTTTATGCTTATAATTTATTATTTTTTAAATTTAAAAATATTTAATTTACTTTTATAATATTTATAATGACAATTATTATTAAAAAATTAATATTTTAATATATTATAAATAATGTTTTTTTCTTAGTAATTATTTTATATAATAAGTATAAAAAGAAATATATATATATATATATACAATCAAAAAATATTAACAATAATGATTCTTATAGAAAAATTATATAAATTTGTTTAATTAGAGTTTATTATCAAATTTCATAAATATTAATCAAAATATAAATTAATAGATATATCAAAGTTTTAATTTAAATTCAATTTTGCATATTATTAATAAATATCGAATTTAATATATATAAAGTCAGGGTTCCATTTTTTTTCGATACGGTTATGAAAGGGAAAGAAGGTTGGTACAAATGGCGTCGACTTGTAGAGGGGAGGAAGTCAGTAGTATCGCGCCGGCTGCGCAAGAGCAGCCTGCAAGACAGATTTTCCAATAATGAACAACCCGTGGTAACTGTCAGTCTGCTCGTGGTGCATTCGTTGACTCTTTCTGTGCATAGTGCGTCCCGGCGTGTGTTAAAATGTGCTATATGATTAATTGAATATTCCATTGAACGCGGATTACTCGAAGAACGCCAAAAATCCTGCTATAAGACAGGTATGTGAAAGAAATTAATTTGAATTTTTTGCGTTAAGAGTTTATTCTAATACCCGTGTGTGCTGTTTGACATACCTATAGATATATCTATTGAAGTGCTCACCATAATAAACAAACGAACGCCATTGACCTTTGGCTACACATTGTTGCTAATTTCTAAATATTCAAAAGAATTATTCTTTTTAATAAATTAATAATAGTTTCTTAAGCTCCTACGTTATATTATTTAAATTATTTTTTAATCTAAATAATATTTGTTTCATAATTAAAAGAATTCTTTTAAAAACTGCAAATAGTATGTAATAGATATCAAAAATATTTACAAAATAGCTTTTACAAAGAGATAATACATAATATAATGAACAATTTTAAATTTTATAATAATTTTTAGTTTCAATATTTCAATCTCGTTAGTTTTTGTAATAAGCAAAAAGAAAAAAATATTTTTTTATGATTGATGCAATTCAATTTCTGATATTACATGACTATATATTCTAAAATATATTAACATTCTTCTATAATTTTTTTTTTTAACTATAAATATATAAATACAAGGTTTATTATTTGATTTATATATATTATCGAATATATTATAAAATAATATATTCGATTGATTTTTTTTTTATGTAAACAGCACATAATCTAAATATTTAAATGTGTTTATTCTATCTTAATGGATTTATAATATTTCATAAATGGGAATTATTATAATCGTGTTTAATTATTTTAAAATCGTAAATATTCACAGGAATAAAATAATAATTATTATCATTTTATCATAGCTATAGTCAAGTATCAATAGTTTTACATTATTTATTATTAATATAGTTACTTTTCTTCTATCAAATCTAGCTTATTTTCCACTCACGATCATTGAGCATTATTGTCATTGAGTGATTTCGCAGTGAACCGTGAAAATGGGAACAAGTAATGACAAGAATGAAAGTAAGACAGCTAATAAATGTATCCTTTTCGATTTGTTGTTCATTCGTTCGGTTTAGGTATGTACCGTTATAGATGCGATTAACTTCGACAATATTCTGTTAAATCTATTTCTTGGCGTGCAGAAATGATACAGATAGAAATCATATCAACCATATCATATATGCTGTCACCATGAATTTTCTTTAATTATAAATCTATCGTTACATGGCGTCACTGGCACGTACATACGGCATTGCGAGCTTTCACCGCACGCGCCCACTTTGCAACGTGGATTGACCGTTATTGTTCACGTTCGATAACATTGTTACTAAATGTTAATATTACAAATTTTTGATCATACGAAATATCCCAAAATTTATAAATTCTTATTAATATTGAAATTTTTTGAACTTTTTTACTACTTTTATGAATTAAAATCGTTTCAATTATATATTATAATGATTGATCATATAATGAAATAAGGTTATATATTTTTGAAATTTTATATTTACTTACATTTCAGTTGATTATTTAAATATATAAATATATTTAACATATATTATATTATATATAATATGTATAAATATTTTTGCATATTTATAAATTTACTAATTTATTAATTTAATAATTCAATAATTTATTAGTAATTTATAGCTAGTGACTTATAAAATTTCACCAAAATTAATTTAATTGTGTAATAAGATTTTGTTTTTATTTATATGAAATAAAGAATAAGAATAAAGAATAACATTATTGAATAGGATTTAATTCTTTATATTTAAAAAAAGAATAAAAATGTTTTAAATAAGATTTTATTTTCAAAAAAATCAATTTTTAAAGTTCTTTATTATATTTTTAAATATAAAATAACTATATTTTTAAATATAATTCTATAAAATAACTCTATAGTTTATTATTATTCTATTATTATAATTGAAACGATATGAAAATATTATCGTTAATAAAAATATAGAAGAACGGGTATGACGATACAAGCAGCATTTTTCATTCAGAATAATCATTGTTTTGCCATTGTTTGCGATTAAAGTCATCGGAGCTACATATAGTATATTTCTGACAATAGAGAATTTTATGTTAGTTTTTTATTACTAGAAATTTACGGATTTTTTTATTTTTTTTATCGAATAAAGAAATAAATACATATTGTTATTCTAATTTTTAATAGTTTTAATTTATTTTTTATTTTGTAAAAAAATTTAATCAATTAACATTCTTCATGTAATAATAGAAATTTAATTTAGAAAATAAGAAATATTCAGTATTTTTGAATCTCAAAATTTCACCAATCATATTGTTTCATAAAGTCACGTGACTATACGTAACGAAACATGGATGCCATAGAGAGCAACTATAATTATTTTATAATTTTCCACATTAAAATAATATCATACATTTCAAACTCTTTCTTTTTTTTAGTTTTTAAAATTGGTGTTGAAACTTATTAAGTTAAAAATTAAGGTGACGTTACTATTATAATCACATGTGTTAAAATATCTTTGGATGATAGGATAGAATGTTCATTCAAGAGGCTTTATTTCTTCCGGATATATTGAATAGTCCATGTATTACGTCGTAAAAAACAGGTAATAATATATTTTTGAAAATTTTAAGAAATTTTAATGTATATATATATATGATTTTAAGTGAACGAAAAAAACAAAAAAGAAAAAAATGTTAATATATTAAATATAGATATATCTAAAACCATCTTGATCTTGTGAACATTTAGCATTCTACGCCCACCAGCGTCATTTAAGATACGAAATTATGTACGTCAATGTATCTTTAAATACGACAAGACGAATCTATGTCAATGTTCTCAATGATCTTATATCGAAAATAACATTAGACTCTTAGAAATTAAAATACCACTATAATACCATACAATATCATAGTTATATAGTTAACTTTGAAACTTTTTCAAACTTGAAATTGTATATTTAATAACATTAATATTAAAACTTGAATAATTCTCTTTTTTTAGATTTGGATTAGAGGAGACTTATGATATGGATCAAATATTAGACATTACTTTTTTTTTTTTTTCAAGTTTTGTCTCGTTAATTAGGAATCAATATATAATTATTAATTCCATTAAGGTAACTTTTGATTATTATAATATATATTAAGATATTACGTATTTTCAAATTATATCTTTATATAATGTACACAATCGTACGACATGATTTCCATAGAATTTTAATAATTTTATATACATATATAATTCATATATACTTTAGAATTATTTAAATTCTATTTTTAAATATTTATTTTTTAGTTGTTATAATTTCTTCAAATAATTTTAAATAATTTTTACAGATTTTTGCTGCATCTGGAATAATTATTTTATAAATAAATAAGAATCCTGCATAAAAAAGAATTGATAAATAATTTTCTCGATAATCTGAATCGATTAATACTTTAATATTTATGATCGTAGATCTATACTCGTTTTCACGAGCAATTTTCATAATTTCATTTTATCTCAAATCTATAATCAAGAGATATAATCTCAAGTTTTATCCACTTTTTCATATAATCAGGGCATAAGTGATTTTTTTCTAAAGAATTAAATCACGATAATTTGCAATATGAAAAATTATATTTGATATATTCTTTCTTATACGAACAAAAAAAAAGAAGAAAGAGAGAAAGAGAAAGAAAAGGGGCATTGTATTAATGTGACAATATATTTCGACGAGACCACGACATGCGAATTTGTAGGTAGATTCTTTGAGATTATCTCGAGCCACTTAAAAAGTCTCCCTGTACTCCGGTGTCTACGTTCCCCAAGTCGTAAGACGATGGGGGTAGTGGAAGTTCTCAGATAAAAAGAAGAGTCGTGGAATAGCTCGGGAAGAATTTCTTTATTACGATTTCTCGAAATACTACCCTCTTCACGTCTCGTCCCATTCGGGCGTGTTTTAAATGCAAAACATCGCTTTTCACGAGCAACGCCATTTAGCGTTGAAACGCGCTCATTAAAGGGGGGAGATCTTTTTCTGTCTTTCATTGTCGTGAACCAGTGATTACACTAACTTTCGGAAATCAAGAAAGCATGTACTTTGTTCTTCTTTTTCAATACCAAGGAATCAGTTTTATTTTAGGGGATATTGTACGTGTCGTTACTTATTAATTTATTCGTTAATGAAATTATTATCTCTCTTAAAGGTAATCCGTTAAAAAGAGTTTTTTTTTTACAAGTTTCTGTTATAAGAAAAATATAAAGAAAAAAGAGAAAGGAAATTATAAGCTTTTCAATTTCAATAAAATGAAGAGTTATATTATATGATATTTTAATTAGATGTTTCAAAAGGAATGATCAATGAATAATTGTTTTAAAATAATTGGAATTTTGCAAAGAGAAAAATCATAAAAATTCCTCATTTTTTTTCTTTATTTTTTAAATTTTCTTATAACATGTGTTTCCGTGATACTTCATTCCAAATTTCTTTAATGAACTTCTTTAAGTGAGATAATTATCTTCATAAATAATTTTTACAAATCTTTTCCATGTTGAGGACTATTATTTTGCACAGATAAAAATCCGATCGATTATCACGTTTTGCACGAGATTCCATCATTTATTAAAGTAGATGTATAAATAATAAACATAAGAAATAAATAATAAAAGCTCGTTTCATAAATTTCGAAGATAACAAAATTACTCATGCTCCAAAACTTTTGGAGTTTAAGCATCGTATATCATCGTTCCTCGTTATAAATACAATTTTTGTTGCTCGGTGGCTTATTTATGGCCGGTTGCATCGCTAGACGGAACTGCGTGTAAATCTAAGCCACGTAGCACCTCCGGTTGCGCGAATCGAGCAAACGCTTCCGTTGGATTCGTGCCAGTTATCCGTCGAAAGTCGCGATTTAGAGGGCGGGGACATGGCCTCGAGTTTTCCTTTCTGGGAACAGTCCTTTGTGCCCTTGGGGACCTCATCGACTCGGTTACAGCGACATTCGTGTTCCGGAAGTAGGCAATTCGACATGTTTGTCTGGTTGAGCATCCTATAGTCACATTCTCGAATAATAACACCGGTTTAAAATTT